TATGTATGAAAGTTCTAAGACAAAGATATTTAAAGTCAATAATTCAGACAGAGTTATTGAAATTTCAAATGTCCAAAAAAATGTGACTAATGCACCTCTCTGAGTTAATTCAATGTTATACAGCAATTTTCTGATACAATTACTTAAATAATTAATTAATTAGGGAACAGATGGATATCTGAACAGATCGATATTTTTAAAAACTCTGACAGGTTACCTGGTTGTGAATATTCCAGGATACATGCAAAAGTGCTACGAATTAGAGCTGTCCACTGTTTTTGAGTTTCCTCAGTTTTGGCCATTGGAAGTGTCACAATAATTTTAATGCCTTGAAAAGTTGCACTGATGGGTAGAGGAACCTGATTGTCTGCAGAATTTATTGCTGTATCTTTTAATATTCTTGCAATTAAGAACAGAATTGTGGGCAGGATTGTCATACATCCTAAAATAAAAACAAATCAGATTACCTCATAATTACTCAATGCCACTGTAGAAGTTTCCATTCTTTATTTTTTTTTTTTACAATTAATTATGTTTGTCCTTTTTTTCCCTCTTCTTTTAGATAGGGTCTCACTGCATTTTTCAGGCTGTCCCCACATCCCTAGGCTAAAGTGATCCTTTTGCCTCAGGCTTTGGAGTAGCTGGGACTAGCGTGCATGCCACCATGCCTGGCTGATTATGGTTTCATATTATTTATTTTCTTTGTTTTTATATAAAATTTGCTACATTACTTTTACTATAATTCAATGTTTAAAAAAGAACATAAGAAATTACCATGTTATTTTAGAGAAGAGAGAACTGATATTTCCTTTTTCCAACCCAGCCATTTTATTACTGCTAATATTTCACCTATTTAGTAGTCCAGCCCTTCATAATGAAAATGAGAAAGGAAGATAGAAAAACAGAAGGAGAATACTACCATATACTTTGAGAACCATCTAAGTTACCTGGTGAATCTTATTAGTAATTCTAAAATATATAATTAACCTTCAGTGTACCAAAGCCAGCCTAATCAAGCCAGGAAAATGAGAAGACTACTGAGGTAAGCAAAGAAGAAATTATAGGATCCCAGAATTTGTGGATAAAAATTCAACCATGGTGGTGGTGGTGGGGGGCCTGGGGTTGTGACTCAGTGGTTGAGCATGTGCGAGGCACTGGGTTTCATCCTCAGCAGCACATAAAAATAAATGAAATAAAGGTATTGTGTCCAACTACAACCAAAAAAAAAAAAAATCAACCATCCACTTAACAAAAGAATCCCTTCACTATTCTTATAGGCAGCTTCCTACAATACTCCAAGGAGAGAAAGTCATTCTTTTTACACATGTAGGGTAACTATAAGAATAAAAAAATAGTCCCTTGGTTATACTGAAATTTACCAGTATGTTTACTAATAATTATTTTTACTTTCCAGCAAAACAAGGAAAGTTTGCTTCCATACAACAGTTTTTCAATATCTATTATATTTACTAGTCATGATTTCTTTAGATACTCCTTAGAGTTGGCTATCACTCTCCTCTAAAATTCTTTAGCTTTTCAATGTTGCTCATGAATGTCAACCAGATTAGAAAATAATGAGCTTTGTAATTCTACCTTACTATCTTC